CTAATATATAGACCAATTGAAGATACTGTTAAAGCAATGGCTGAACTTGTTAAAAAGGGTAAAGTTAAATATCTTGGACTTTCTGAATGTTCTGCCAATACGCTTCGACGTGCTTATAAAATACATCCAATCGCTGCTGTTCAGGTAATTAACATTATTAAATTTGTTTAACATAACATATTTAATTCAGTAAATATACGTGCTATATTTAGATGGAATATAGTCCATGGTCTCTTGACATTGAAACAAATGGACTTAAAGAAACTTGTGAAGAACTTGGCGTTACAATTGTCGCGTATAGCCCATTAGGACGTGGTTTTTAATGGTAGGGTAGCTTTTTTTTTTTTTTTTTTTTACCGAAAAAAAGTATTAGTAAAGTTGTAAGCTGACAATATTAATTATGGATGTATAGGGAATATATAAATCTATAGAGGACTTTGCCTCTAACGACGTTCGTAGAATAAATCCTCGTTATATGGGAGAAAATTTTGCAAAAAATTTAGATCTCGTAAAAGAAATTGAAAAATTGGCCGAGAAGAAAGGAGTTACTGCCAGTCAACTTTGTTTGGCTTGGGTTTTAGCTCAGGTATGCTACGATCCTATTATATAAATTAAAATATTTAGAATCTGATTTATTATTTTTTTGCATATCAATTAGGGAGAAAATATTATTGTACTAAAAAACTTAAATACTTGAAGGAAAATGCTCAGGCCGCTAATATTAATTTAAGCTCTGAAGAGTTAGCTGAAATTCGAAACATTATCAATTCAATTGAAGTTATCGGACATCGATATAATGAACGTGGAACAAAGGTAATTTTCATTATTTTAGAAGTTGAATTTTCAGATATTTCACATTACCGGAGTATGTGTTTAGAAAACATGATCCCATGAAAATAACACGAGTATAAATGCTCATTGTAACAGAAAAAATAATTGCATCTTTTTTTATAGCCTATCCTGTGAAGTAAGATATCTGAAAATTTATGTTAATTGATAAAACTGAGTTTTAATGAAAATTCTGAAGTGAATTACTAAAGTTATTCTGTCTATAAGTGTAATTTTTAACCTTTATAAAATAAATTCATAGCTAAATTCTCAACATAGTTATAGGAAAATACTTTATTTTATTAAGTCTACGAAAAATCTTTTTCAGCTTATAAAAGGATTAAATGATATCAATATAATTTTTAACTAGCACTTTCGACTTAGTCCCCAATCTAATTTTTAACTAGCACTTCGACTTGAGTTTACAAAACTTCGTTAAAAAAAAATCAATAAGTTAATCACCGCTTAGCCGTAGTTTATTCAGCTAAAAACGGCTCGGCCACAAATGGTTATGCTTGTGTAACGTAAGAGCCATTTCGCATCTCTAGTTTAAGTAGATTTATTTACCTTTTTTTTTATAAACCAAATTTCGAATGCTACAAAAATATTAATTTTTATTTTTTGCATCAAGTACGTCCAAATTTAATAGGCCCGAATCTATTATAATTTATAATATTAATTAATATATAAATCAAAATAAAAGATTGTTATATAAAAATAATAAAATTATTTTACCTGCATTATCGTTATTGATACTGATAAATTTAGAAGTATATACATTACCATGTTGTTGAGAAGTTATTGATATTGTAGGAATAATTTTATCCGCTTTCAAAAATTGGTTTCTTATTTCAAGTTGATTTATATCCAATTCTTCTACCTTTTTGCTAAGAATAATTTTCCATTCATAAAATTTTTCATAAATTTCTTTAGCAGTTGGTCGCTCTGATGGATTATTATTCATACATCGGTTTGCAAGTTGTATATAATAATCAGGTGTCCCTGAAGCAAATTCTGGTCGCATTCCATTAATTATTTCAAATTTAAATCCGACAGTTTGATGCGA